AGGGGGGTGGGACTTTCTATTTGCTTGCAATGCCGGCTGTTCGCCTTTAGTTCGAAGTAGAAGTAGAGGGTGTTGTTTGCCCAACACTTTAGAAAAGGTAAAAAAGTAATTAAAATCAATTAAAATTTTGCTCATATCCTTATTTGAAACATAAAAGAACTCGTATATCGCTTAATCTAAAAAAGAGTATAATTATATAACTACAAACAAATGCAAAAGTGTGTCGAGATAAATTGGACGCGGCTCAAAATGAGATTTTTGCAAATTTGTGGTATAAAAGATTGAGTCATATATATAAGAGCGAGAAAAAATTGCAAATTTTTTTCAACATGAGATCATTCATCTTTTTTACTAAAAGTACAATGGTAAAACCTTGTGATTATTATTTATTTGGCGAGCAACATAGAGTCTCAGAAACTAATTAAATATACTCGACCTTTACCTATTCTAATGTAATGTTTGTTATTAGTCACCATATTAGATGTCCGTACAAAATGAAATTGGGTGACTTGCAGAGTGTGCTCCCCATGACGTTATTAATACATAAATGGAATATCTCGTCGCTCTAACGATACAACACACTGTGCAAATGATAAAGAGAATACACTTTCTTGATTGTAAGAAAATTGAGAAGAACCTCCTATCACTTGAATAATAATGTCTTCTTAAATATAATGACTATACAATTTTAATTTAGATACTTAGCAGTTAGCACAATTTAAAAGAAAAAAAAATACTTCCAATATATATTTGTACTCGTATAAACCTTGAGTCGATATATGTTTACATAGTCTATGTAATTGGAATACCATTTTTCTCTTGTGGGAGAGCAAAAATAAAGTGCTAAATACCACTCGAGATAAAGAAAATTATGTCGGGAGCTAAGAGAGATTGGAAAGGATTTAATAAGAGTGTATCTAGCATCTTTTGCTCTCTCTTGTTAGAAGAAGGAAAGGGCACAGCTCGAAGAAGTGGCTCTTTCAACTAATCCATTCTTTTCCTTTTCTTCTCCTCACTAATGTAAAAATATTGAATTTCTTTTTTTTACACTAGCGCATAGTATGTAAAGAAATGATCTTTCCAAACACAACTTGAAAGTATGATTTGCTTTTAAACTAATTGAACTCATGAACACCATAAGAACATCATAACCTCTTGATAAACAAGAGATGAGAAACCACTAACCACCCCCTTCATTTCACTCTCAGAGTACTACTGTCATATAGCTATATAATTTCAAAAGTTTATTTATACTTATTTAACTGCACCCATTGACACAAAAGAGTTTACCTCACGCTCATTTAAAATTCTGGATTCGCCTTTGCCTCACGAACTAACAACTATAAGGCAGCAGGCTAATACGAAAATGTAAAATACAACTTACAAATTATACAGATCAAGAACAACAAAGAGAGCATCGAACCAGTCCATTCTCATTACAAAGTTGACACCTTCTAACTTGTCCTTCATCTTCATCAAAAAATTTCCTGCTGCCATCACAATTTGAGCAAGGCAAAAACCTTACATCCCCACAACCTTCACAAATATATCCAATTGGCCTTAAAGGAATACCTCTTAATAACTTTGGCAATTCACCAATTTCATTCAATTGCTTTATCACTTCAGCTCCTCCAATATATTTCCCTTTTATAAAAACTTGTGGCAATGTCACATTATTCTTCTCGCCCATAACACTTTGTAATTCCTTCCTATATGCGCTGTGCATAGAAACATCTCTTTCATCAGCTTTAACACGATAACTTCCTATGATCATTTTCACCGTATAACAATCCTCAAATGTTCTTCGTACTCCTCGTATACTCGTGAAATAAATTACCACACGATCCTCAGTCCCAGGCAATGTACAAGAATTGTAATTAAATGATTTTGAATGCTTGGTTTGAGGTTTTGGAATTGAGGGTCGATGGTTGTCCTTACGAGAATCGAAAATTGAACATAATTTTTTCACTTTTCCTTTGAAAGAAGTTCCCACCATTGAGCCTAAAGGTGAGCAATGTAGCTTTTTAATGGAGCCATTACGTTCAATAGAAGGAGGAGAAGGGTAGAGATATAAGGTTTTCTCAGGGAATTCAATTGGATTTCTGGGGCTGTGTATAGTCTTTGATCTATTGAATTTTGATGATGTTTTTGCCTTGTTGATTTCTTGGTATTCAAATTCATTGTTCCTTTGATGATGATGATGATCCATTACAAAATTTGAGAATTCTTTATGTTTTTTTCACGTAACAAATTCAGGGGTTACCTCTTAACTTAACAATCTACCAATGATCCAAAGATCAATGTAAGTTAAGGATAATTGATAGAAAGGAGTGGGGAATAAAAGCAATAAATTCTGGAAATGATATAAATATATGATAGAAATTGTTGATAGGAAAATTAAAAATTGTGAAGATCAAAATAAAATTTGAAGAATGAATATAGAGATAGAGGGAGAAAAGGGGTAATGGAGTTTTGGATAAAAATGTTGAAGATGAGGGACGGTGAAGGAGGGGTGGCGGAGGGTGGTGGGATAGCTTTATGGCGAAGTTGTATCTATACTAAAATGTTTGTCACAAAAATGGTGCAAAATAGCTTTTGTCAGCGCTAGAGGAATTTTTCTTTTTTGGATGATTTAGTTTATTGGTACAAAAATGATGTTTTTGTACGTTGAGCATATTGAGTTGTGCAGGACGGAAAAGAGTAATTGATTTGAGACATTTTTATCTGTCTTCCTTACTTTGGATTTAATTTGTGTATAATTAAAATTTGTTGACTTTTCTCGTCCCTAAGTGGACAACCAATAAAACTCTAATAATAATAAAAAAAATGATGGTCACAGAATAGTTACGGTTGGAGAAACCGAAAAACTTGTTATATCCAGTACATATCTAAAATAATACTAAATTCACACGTGTCTCGTTTTAACAAAATTTCGGATATTAGAATAAAACAGTAATAGTCAAGATTCGAATATCAAAATTCTCTTCTCTTTCATTGGGGCCACAGTAGACATGGACGAGGGGGAATAGCGAGAAATGTGGTGAAATGGATGAAATCTCTCCATTCTTAATCCGAGGTTTCGGATATGAGCCGTATGAATAAGAAATTTTTTGATAGGCGTCCCCCCCCCCCCGCCCCCCGGGCCTTATGCAGCACAAATTTGGATTAATCAAGTGGGCTCCACTAATTCCTGATGGTTAAACGAAAGAAAGAAAGAAAAAAAGACATGAAGGAGGGGAGGCATGTGAATGGGAAACTCCCTGGTAACGCTTCCCCTTTAAATCAGCTCTACACAGCGCAAATCTGAATTAATCGGGTGGGTTCCACTAATTCCTGATACATATGGTTAAACGAAAAAAAGACATGAAGGAGGGGAGAAAGATGGAAGAGAAAGCTCTACCCACAAGCCACCCGAGTTCTATTTCTGATTCAACAAACCCAGGGGCCAGGCGAGAACATTAACTAGGTGCATGCAGCTTAACAACAGGGCAATGAGAAATGAAAAAGTTCTGAGACTTATTTTCTCCGTACAAGGTGAAGATCAACTGAAGATTTAATGAATTTCCTCAAAGCAACGGTTTACTCTTGAATCAAATAGCAACTAAGGAGCACTGTGTTAAGCATCCAGCAAATTTACTCTTCATTCGCACCTTATGGGTTGCACAGAGTTGGAGGATTCATAGATGATTATAATTGAAGAAAAGTACACTGACATCTCCAAGTTGGATTGGAAAGTATAGTAATACAAGAAAAGAAGGTGAAGATTCAACAACTCCCTTAAAAGTATGCTTTTTGGAATTACTAAGTAAAGAACAAAGACAAGAAGCTTAAAAGCTTAAAAACAACATTTGATACAAAAGCTAAATATTCACTTTCACTCACCTCTTACTCGGATAGAAGTCATAACTCATAAAGAAGCCCGAGGTCAGAGGACACAGCATCAACTCCAGCCTCCATGTTTGAGATTCGGGCATTGCTTTGGAAACATCAGAAAAAAGGCAGTTACTGGGTCATAAAGCAGATAGGATGTTTTACACCACCAGGCTTTTTATAAAATATTAAATATATCTCATTGGACACATCAAAGAGGCATATAGGGATAAAAGAGGCATCTTCAAAGGCATGCACATAAAGGAACTATCATGCATCAATGAAGCAGCATCTCAGCCAACTCCGGATGTAACCAAAAAAAATGTTGAGAGCTTGACAGCAGGGCTTTAATTCCAGAAAACAAAAGGTGAAGAAGAGAATTTTCTTACATTATCAAAAACAAATTTGATAATCATAGTTTAGCATCACATAAATCTGTATGAGGATCGATATTGAAAAAATGCCAACTCGAACCATGGAATGCTCGAAAAAAATCATCTGAAAAAGAGTCGATTGCATGCTCTTTTACGAACTGCCTGATTGCCAGGATATGCTTCCTAGAATCAGCAAGAGTAAGGTTTTTGCACACTGACCAGTGTTGCTCATATGCCTCAAAACTGTTTCCAAACAATATAATATTATCCAATAGATCAGGCCTCCAATTTGCCTCCAGAAGATTGTCATACAGTTCAGCTTCACAATGTGGCATGAAGAACATCATAGGTTTCAAAGTTTGCCGTCGACCTTGTTCATTTACTGTTAGGACAGAACAGCCAAGAGCTGCCAGTACCTTAGATTCTGCCAGAGAGATCACTGGATCAAATACCTCTACCTCTCCAATCCAATTAAACATTCTTTTCATCAAGATTGCAAGACTAAGCTGCAATCTAGGAGGCTCATACGATTCTATGCTACCAATTCCATATATTACCATCGGCATCTTTCCTTCTGAGCACACAGCTTTTAGAAACTGATCAAGTATTTCAGGGGTTTGTAACTGATCCGAAAATGTCAACCAGAAGGAGGAGCTCTCAAGTTTCTTTATGCAGTTTTGCATCTTCTGCATCAATTTAGATTCTCTCTCTGGATTGGTCTCAATATCTGCCGGAGTCCACACTTCCTCTTGCTTTTTCGGTTCATGGATGATAACTTTATGAAAATTCCTTTTCTGTTTTCCACGACGAGGCAATACGACTGTCCAGTCTTCAGCTGGGTTAGGCTTGTCATGAGCTAGTGTCTTTGCTGATGCAGCCATTCCTCTCAAGCTGCTTGAGATAAAGCAGACCGAGTATGTTTGAAATATGTAAGTTAGTCAAGGACCTAAAAGAAAAAATGGATTATTACTGTGTGAATATGAGAATTCTAACATAACACTTCCAAAGACCTGTTACCCGATCAAAAATCACTTTACTTGATTAATGACCTTTTATCCGGATGCTTTCAGCAGACACACGAAAGATACAAACTACTACTATACATAAATTGTCATTGCAATAGTCAGCCCTAGAACATGATCACAATACGTCCAGACGAGAAGAAAGATACAGAACACTAACAAAACTTGATATCCATATGAGTTACGCTTAAGCATTTATTTAGGAATATATCTGTGTTTTTCTTAGAATAAAATAGCAATCCTCCTCAGGGAAGAGCACTTACAAGGCGGTTCAGTTCAGTTAGGTTTAAGTTCGTCAAAAAATTGGACACACTAGGCTAATGATGACCTTTACCCCTGCGTATAATTTATTAAAAATAAGGCAGTTGCACCCAGTTTCTTTTGGGGTAATTCATGAATAGAGAACAGACCAATAAGCAATAAACGCAAAATCTTAAATTGACATCCAAATAGAAAACCTAAGCAAATTTTAAGAGAAACATCCAAACAAGCAAACCCCAAACGCATTCCCTGCTACTCCCTCCATCCCAAAACACAATTTTCCGCAATTCCCAGATGCTAATAGCGGTTAAGCTAGAGAAATTTAAACACAAAATTTCAAATTATATTCTTTCTAAGTTCAAACCTTCTCAAAGAACCTAATATAATTATAAAGTATAAAGCAAATGTAAATTAGAGTTCTAAATATTTTTTAAGATTTAACCCTCTTAAATACCCAATAAAATTAGAAAATTAATATCACTACTACTACAAACTAGTATATGCTCTCATATATCCACGCATGTGGGTGTGTGAAAATAGAAGCAGTGTATAACTAGCGTGTTGTGATCCTCACTAAAGGGAATCAACAAGAAATTTAAGATAACCAGCGAAATACGAAATTTCAAAAAACGAGCTGAAAATTATTAATTTTACAGTATTTAGTAAAAGGACAACAACAACATTAGTTATCATTCATTCGAATCACTGAAATGATAAGCCCAAAAGGCTCCATATTTTTCATAGGACAGTCAATTACTTAAGTTAATCATCTAAGAGAAACAAAATAAACAAATGAATTTCGACAATTCAATAGGAATACAACAGATTTGCAAAACCATATAACTAATCGGGAAAAGGGAAAGCACATGTATGCAGCTGAAAAAATATGAGAGAATTGAAATAAGAAAGGAAAGAGCCTTACGATGAAAGCGAAAGAGAGAAGAGATGTCCTTCTCCTAATCAAAAATCAAACTTGCTCTCCTTCAATTCCACCATTTTCCCTTACCTATGTGAAAATTGGGAAACCAAAATTCCAAAGATAAACATCAGTGATACAAGTGTAGAAAATGTTTTTATTAGTTAAACAAAAAACATCGGGCTCGAGATATGATTGAGAGAGTTCAAGTACTGTTAACCAACAGTAGGAAGATTTCATATTTCACCTGGATTTAGGGTTTTGTATTAGAATGGGGTAAATGAGAGTAGGATTTGCAGCAGGTAGCCGATTTTCGGGGTGCTACTTAAAATCTATCCCTTTTACTAATATGTTCCCAAAAGTATTTACTAATATTTTAACTGAACATCGCAATTTCAGAATTCGGAACCAAAATATGATTTTTTTTTTTGTACTCAAAGAACCAAAATACGTGGAGGGAAAAACTGGCTACCATAATATGTATAGCGCAGTTTTTTACCGCGCTATAACTTAACGGCCGTTTGTTCGTTAAAGTATAGCACGGTTATTCACCGCGTTATACTTAATTATTGGGCCCACCAATAATTCTTCTGGTATTAACTGACACACCAGTATTTTAACAAGGTATAACGCGGTGAATTACTGCGCTATACGTAAAACTTGGGCCCACTAATAATTCTTCTATACTTAGTTGACAAACCAATAATTCTACTGGGTATAGCGCGCATATTTAAGGCGCTATACATCAATTTTTTCCTTATTTAAAGAGTTTCAGGAGAATTTTGTAAAAATCCATTCAGAATCCTTCAAGTCTTCCGAAATATTTGTTCATTGAGTTATTTTGCATTTTGTATAATGTCTAAAGAGCGAAGAATTAGGGTTTCATTATATTGGGGAGGTGAGGTTGTAGTGGAGAATAACTCAGTACACTATAGTTTCTCTCTACAATGTCATGTTAAGTTGCCACTTACAATGGAGTATGATACATTAGTATCGTTGTTATATAGAAAAATTAGTGGGAGCAAACGTTCAGTGAATATTAAAGTAACCGGAAGATATCCGTATTGTGTTACTCCGCAGGGGTTGCTTGTTATGTTGAGTTTAACATCAAAGATGATGAAACTCTGAGAGATTTTTTGAGGACTCTGGATGAACATCGGGAATATCTTGTGATAAAAATATTGGAAATATACGTCAAGGCTAAGACGTTCGCAATAATAAGATTCCGCAAAGTAGGGATATCCCTCAATCATCGGGTGGTTATTTTGGAGCAGTTTTAGTCGAACAAATTCCGGGTAAAAGAGTTTGGCCTTATCTAAACTTATCTCCACGGGCGAACAGTAGCTTTAGCGATGCAGGTCCGGGATGCACGGGCGGAACCTCCACGACGACTATTGTAAATTGAACAATATTAATTAAAGTATTTTTCTTTTCCATTGCTTAACATCTTTAAATATATTGCAATATCTTTAATATTTTATATGTTAGTTTACTATTTTATATGTTAGTTTACTATTTAATATGTTTGTTTCTTATTTTATATGTTAGTTTATTATTTTATATGTTAGTTTATTACTCACATATTTTTTACTATAATAAAATTAAATAATTATTTTTCATAACTATACAAGATTTAATTATTAAATATTCATGTAACAATACTTAGTTTGACAAATATTGTTGTTTTCTAATGTTATTTTCTTACGTTTGTTAACTAGAATTCGAGAGAGTTTGTGTTTGAACTATCAACTTTTTCAGATATTTTTGGGTTTAACAGATAATTAAATGATTAATTTCAATAACTACAAAGATACTACGCTAAAGGGCACTATATTTTACTACGCTAAAAGGGCACTACATTATAAATACGAGCACTACATTAAAATTACGGGAACAAGATACCGCTATAGGGAACTAAAGTCATATATTCATATATGTACAAAAATAACATCTAAATAAGATTAACTATTCCTAAAATAATAATTTATCTATTTTACTAATCTTTTAGCAAATAACTAATCTAAACTGGATAAAAATAACAAATTAATTTAATCACAAAACAATCACGAAAAAATATATACCAAAGTAAAAATTAACTAATTAACATATTTTTAACAACTAATAACAATTTCTCTATTTTACTAATTTTTTATCATACTAATAATATTATAATCCGGATAAAAAACAACAAATTAATTAAATCGCAAAACAATCACGAAATAATATAGAACACAGTAAAAACAACTAATATGCATTTTTTATACATGAGTTTTAACAAAAAATAAGTCGGAATACCTCAATTTAAATTTTTTGGAAAGTTGAAGATTTGGTGATTTGGAACCAAAACAAGCAACCCACTACGAGATAACACCTTAGATACGATATGGGGCCGAGAATCTACACTTTTCGTTGGACCGGTGGGCTCCACCCGAGTTTTTTTCGTTACAAATGGGGGGGACCGCTGGTTTTGGCTTGTGATTTAAGGGGGCATTCTGTTTTAGGGGAAGAAGATGGTATTTTTGTAGGTATTGTAACGACCCGGCCAGTCGTTTTGAGTGTATTAGCCTTGATCCCCAATTTACTGCTTCCCCCGTATCTTTTTCTGCTTATGTGACTTGCCGGAAGGTTTTGTTGTGGTTTCAGAGTGATTTGGGATACTTAGTCCCTAAAACGGAAGCTTAAGTCCTAGGATTTTGACCGTAGTTGGAAATGTGTGAAGACGACTCAAGAATGGAGTTCTGTTGGTTCCGTTAGCTCCGTTGGGTGATTTTGGACTTAGGAGAGTGTTCGAATTGTGTTTTGGAGGTCTGTAGCTAAATTAGGCTTGAAATGGCGAAAGTTGAATTCTTGGGAAGTTTGACCGGAAATGGACTTTTTGATATCGGGCTCGGATTCCGATTTCGAAAGTTGGAGTAGGTCCGAAATGTCGAATATGAATTGTGTGCAAAATTTGAGGTCAATCGGACGTGGTTTGGTATTTTCGGCATCGGTTGTAGAAGTTTTCAAAGTTCATTAAGCTTGAAATTGGAGGGTGATTCATGTTTTTAGCGTTGTTTGATGTGATTTGAGGGCTCGACTAAGTTCGTATAGTATTTTAGGACTTGTTGGTATGTTTGTTTTAGGTCCCCGGGGGCCTCGGGTATGCTTCGGATGCTTAACAGATTGAATTTGGACTTATGCAAATCGCTGAAGTTTTCAGGTTTATGGTGTTTTCGCACCTGCGGTGGGGAGACCGCAGGTGCGGACTCGCACATGCGGAAGGAGGAGCGCATATGCGGATTTGGACAGCCCAGGTTGTGTTCGCAGGTGCGGATCTATTTGCGCAGAAGCGGCCTCGCTTCTGCGGTGGGATGGTGCACAAGAGCGGTGAGGGCCGCATGTGCGGCTCCTTGGTCGCAGTAGCGCATCCACAGGTGTGGCTCTTCTCTCGCAGATGCGGACCCAGGGGACATAAGATAAGTCCGCACCTGCGATGGAATTTCCGCAGGTGCGATTATAGGCCCGCATATGCGAAATCGCTAGGTAGAAAAGGGCAAGTTCGAGTGTTTTATCCCATTTTCAATTTTGGGACTTTGAGAGCTCGGATTTGGGCGATAATTTGGGAGATTTTCAGAGGAAGCTTTTGGGTAACGATTCTTAACCCATTTATGGTTATATTCCACTAATCTATCATTAATTCCATCTTTTAATTTCGGATTTGGGTTGAAATATTTGGGGAAAATGTGAGAAGCTCTTCAACTAAGTTTTTGAGTTTTGATTGGGATTTTGATATCAAAATTGGATAATTTTGGTACGAGTGAACTTGTGGTTGATTGGGTGTTCGTATTTTATGATTTTTACCTGATTCTAAGACGTGGGCCCTGGTTGACTTTTTAGGACGATTTTTAAATTTTTTGTTAAAGTCTTGATTTCATTAATTAGATTAGTACATTATAGTTGTATTTATGATATGTAATTATTTTTGGCTAGATTTAGGGCATTCGGGGTCGGATAATCGAGGAAAGGGCATTCTTATTGATTGATTGAGCTTGGTTCGAGATAAGTGGCTTGCTTAACCTTGTGTGAGGGAAATTCCCTTAGGATTTGGTACTGTTATGATATGCAAGCGTCGTGTACGTGAGGTGACGAGTGTGTACATGGGCTATTTATTGTAAAACTCGATTTTTACTAAGTAGTAACATATTTTCATTTTAATTGAGTTATACCAGCATGTGTAGTATCCTGCTTAGTCTAATATCGCATGTCTACGTGCTTTAACTGCTTATTTGAACTTTGTGCAACATGCCTAGTTGATTTCCTGTTTCTCCTTGATTTTTATCAGTCTTAACTGTAGGACTTTTGCTTTTAACTGTTGTATTTATCGGTTGACCTGTGTATTTACTTTTGAGACTACAAGGCGGTACCTCGGGAGTTCTCCCTGCATATTCACTTTTGGGACTACGAGGCGGTACCTCGGGAGATCCCCCTGCACATTTACTTTTGAGACTACGAGGCGGTACCTCGGGAGATCTCCTCACATATTTACTTTTGGGACTACGAGACAGTACCTCGGGTGTCATGACTCAAAATCTCAACCTGTCATGATGGCGCCTATCTCGATACTAGGCAAGCCGAAATTATCAATAAACCACAATTTTCTTTTAAATACGAAAAACATCATAATTCAAGCTTAAGTGAAAATCCCACAAATACTAGGTAAAACATATTCCCAAAACCTGGTGTCACTAAGTACATGAGCATCTAATTATGAATACAAGTCTGAGGCCAAATACAGTAAATAAGGAGATAGGGAAGGAGAGGCAAGGTCTACGAAACACGACAGCTACCTTAGGATCTAAGAAAAATCGGTTGTGCGGAAGAATCAACACCCGCTATGTCCAGGAACACCTGGATCTGCATACAAAGTGCAGGGTATATTATGAGTACAACCAACTCAGCAAGTAACAATAATAAATAAGGAACTGAAGACAGTGACGAGCTACACAGTTACGGTTCATATTCAGTAATTCCAGCAAAGAATAGACATGCTCTCAAATCCAGCAGTTTAATTCAAATCAATTTATACAGTTCATGTTCATGTAATCCGGATATAAAATCTTTCAGAGATTTCACAACAATGACAGATAGCACTAAGTGCAACAACAAATGAAAAGTTAGTACAGCCTCTCAGGACAATAATCACTCGGGCTCCCAGCCCTCATCACTCACACTCAATGGGTACCCGCGATCATTGGGGGTGTA